GTTAAAATTTGTTTGGCTTTAAGTTAAGAGTGTGTTTTTCTCCCATTATTGGGAGAAAAATGGAGTAATGAATAGTAATTTTTGGAGAATGTGTGGTTGAAAAGTAAAGTAATTTTATTGGTTTGTGTGTAAAATATTTTATTGGGTGAATGTGTGGTGGAGAATCTTACTGTAGCAAACAATTTTTTGGAATAATGGTAGACAAACAGGGGCTTAATCAGTTAAATTCTTCTCTGGAGCTGGCTGAGCAACATTTTTGTTTTTTTAAAACGTGGGAGACGTGTACTAGAAGAAAATAATATCGTCAGATAGACAAAATCGAGGAGGGACGATCATCAAAATGGGCCAAGCGAAATCAGATTTATTGACAACAATTTGGATTTGAAAATTTGCAGATTAAGAATGGGATTGAAATCTCAGAGGCAAACCCACGCATGATCCGACTGAGCCGTTGGGGCATTGTCGACCTCGAAGTGACCCGGCATGGAATGTCCTGCCTCGACCCAAAAGTGACCTAGTACGGACCACTTCAATTCTGGGCTAGATCCTATTTCCACTTCTATGTTAACTTGATTAAATGCTAAGTACAATGCATTAACAAATGGTTGGTGTATGATTCGATTCGGACAAACAAAAGCAGTTCCCCAGGCATATCCATGATGTGTCCACAACTCTTCACCAGGTGTCAATTTACATGCTTATTCCACCCCCACCCACCTCGCCACGTGTGTACTTCACATTCATTCACTCTCTCTTTTATATGCATATTTGACAACCCTTTTGCTTCACTCAAAGGCAAGCCTGCCAAAAAAGGTTGTACCTATCCATGGAAGAAGCAAATTTGAAAAAAAGTGATTTTGCAAAGAAAAAAAGCATCAGAAGGAGGTCTCAGTCTCACACAAGAAAATCAGCTCATCTGATTAACATGGCTGAAGCTAGAAGAGATATTGTGAATGCTCTACATCTTCACAGGCTATCTTCTTCATCAACTTCTGGAACTGCAGGGAACAGTACTTGGACTTCACAGAACTGTTATCAGTTAATGGAGTCTATGCCAATTCCTGAACCAACCTGGTCTACAACACCACCTGCAGTGATGTGTGCTCCAGTTCCTTCAGTGGAAGTTCTTGAGTTTGGTTGGCCTGAAAATATGTCGTCTTCTTACACTTGGTGGATAGGGTTTTTGAATTCTTTGGATGGTAAAGGAAATAGTGAATTAGTGGTGGAAAGTTCACAGGGGAAAGATGATTTGAATGTCGTAAAACCATATTTGGATGCAAATGATGATGAGAGCCCATTTCTTGATGAGTGGTTGATTTTTCCCGCAGCCGAGGATCAAGCGTGAAATCTTTCGAGGTTGCGTCTGAATTTGAGAACTCGACTGGATGTTATATGAATAAAATTATCATTCTGTGTTAATTTGATCAGTTTTTCATTTTTCTAACTAGATTTGAGTTTGTTTACTTATTTATTTGATCTGTTGTTCAATTTTCTAACTAGATTTGAGTTTATTTATTTATTTATTCATTTATTTTTCTTAGGATTGCAAAAAAATTCATTCAATCGGATACTCGTGGACTCCTCTCCGAATGATTCGGGGTAAATGGGGAGCCGGGGCGAGGGAGGAGCTGAGGCAAGAGTTGTTGCCCGAAGTGAATACGGTACGGGTATGGGAAACATGGTGTTGTCTCGCTATTCGTCCAAAATGAGTCGTTCTTAATAAATTGAAAAAAAAATAGTAATAATATTGTCATCACTAATTTTGCTATCCCATCAAGAACTAGATGAATTGCAAATTTTTCGTGTTTCAAGAACTTTACTACCAAAAATTTAAGATCATTTGGTCCCCTCAATTAAGGAAATCAAGAAAATCATTTGCACCAATTCAAGAATGTGCCAACTCTAATATGAAGAAAAGTAATCATAATCGAGTTAGGGTTTAATGAGAACACAAGTGACTGATGGTTGGCTATCATTTATAATTTGTTATAATGGTCAATTGATTTTTTATTTATAGATTTCGTGTGAATGAAGAATAATACTCATTTATTCAATTTTTATTTAAAATTTAACTATTTATAAACAACAATCTTTGAAGTAGGTTGAATTTTTGAAATATTTAAGGTTTGTTTCAGCCTCAATTTTTTGGAGAATAAATTTTGTTATTATTATTTTTTGAGAATATGATTAAGAAGTAAATAAAATTTTAATTTATATATAAAATTATCGTACTGGGAGAATTTATAATTAAAAATAAATTTTAAAGAATAAAACTCAAACATGTACTTATAATCACGTGAGCTTTCGAAGGTATTCACTGAAGCACAATTGTAATTCTTGTCACTCAAAAAGTGTAGAAGTACTTATTTAAGGGGTTTTTTTTTTTTTAATGGAACTGTTAAAATAAAAGTAACTTGTTTTTAATATGATCATTAGGAAGATTTTTTTTTTTTAAATTTTAAAAGTTAATTTTGTTCTTATTAGTCAGAAGTGAGTTGGGCTGGTTGGTTTGGGCCTAACATTTTTTATACATACTGTTGACCCCAAAAAATGTTGCCAACAGATGCCGGGCCCACTCGTGCACACGTAAGCTTAATCCAACACACTAATGCCGATTAACGGTCATGAGAACTCCAGAGAATGGGCGTGGGAGTAGCAAAA